GCCTTCCGCGGTGGCCTAGGCCTCGGGCTGGGCCTTGCCCCGTCTGCGGGCCGGGAGGAGGCCTTTCCGAGGCGCTCGTCTCAGGGGAGTGGAGAAACCTTGCTCTGGGAGCTGGTCAGGGGCCGGGGTGTTCCCCGAGGACGTCACTCTGAGCGCCTCGCCGCTGACAGGAGTCCCCCGAAATAAGGGTGGAAGTATGACAGGGGAAACGTGCAAATAAGCAGTCAGTGTGGCATGCAGCCTCTCAAAATACCCGTTCTGTTAGTGCAGGCAGGTTCCTTTGGCTCTTGACCACGGCATGGATCTGCCCTGAGATGGAAGCTCTCAAGGGCAGGCTTCTTGGTTTCGTGCCTGTCTGCAGACACTGTAGCAATGTGTTGCATTAAGTGAGCATCATCATGTGTTGTGTCTCTGTGCGAAGGAGGAAAATGGCGGCATATTTCTGAGGAAACGGTGAAAATACAGAGCACAACCCTCCAGTGAGGTAAACCAGTGAGGTTACTAGGATCAGGGCGATGTGTGCCAACAAAATTTCATTGTATTTCGTCTACAGCTTGGGAACCCTGAAGTGCCCTTCAGTAAGGGCTGCTTAGTGAAAAAAGCCCTTCAATAACAGCAACAATTGTGATGTCTCTGCTTGTATTTAAGGTACAAGCACTATGTTCTGATATCTTAGCAGCTTCAGCAGGTGCTTCTGGTTTGATAAATTTGTTAGCTATAAACCTTTGGAGGCACTTATGCTGTTAAGTCCACCTGGCAATAACATAGGATTGTAGAGAACAGAAGAGGCTTTTAGTGAACTCTTTTATATGCAAAGTATGTGCAGGCATCTGCAAAAAACTATAGTCAGCACTGTCTACCAGTTCATTATGTGCTTGGGATCATACAGTCATAGAATAAATTAACTTGGAAGGGACCTCCTGGAGGTCATGTAGTTCAACTCCCTGCTTAAAGCAGTTCTGGCATCAAAGTTAGAGCAGGTTGCTCCAGGCCTTGTCTGGTTGAGCTTTCTCTTGAAGGCATTAAAATGGAGTTGAAAGTTGGGTTGGAAAGGTGTCCAAATTTGGGGACGAAGTGCCCCAAACATTGGAAAGTTACAGAGTTTTAAGCAGTCTGAATGAAGCGTACTCTTCCTTGGTTAACTGGAAGCTGTGTTTCCTTTCCATTTTTGGTATTATGATTCTGGTTCTCCAGTTGTGCAGCAGTCTTCAATGTGCACAATATAGAGATTATTGGATGATAAAAAGCAAGCAGAAAAGTATATTGCCCCGCAGCACACAGGTTTTCTCTTAGTAGATACAAACTGAAATATTTTTAAAGTAACATTTCTCTGTATATTAACAAAATCATAAAGGCTGATAAACCGCTTTAAATTTGTAAGGTGCTTAGTATTTCACCTGCATAATGACTTATTTATTATAAGGCTAAAGTACTGAGTCCTGCATTCATAGAGGTGCAGTGTAATCAGCTTTGTTTCTACGTCCTTAGCAGTATGAAGTTCTTCCTGTGCAAAAGCAAGCTCTTGTGCTTTACTTGTCCACTAAATGAATTAAATTTATTCACTCAGTGAGTCAGGTTTGATGGAATGAAGATAGATGATGTAAGCCTTCACCTATCTTAATCCATTCTTGTGGTGTCACAGAGTTTCTTAGCCTGTGAAGTCAGTCTTTGAAGAAATCCCAGCATTATTGTTTGAGCTGCTCAGTGTCTACAGGCCCCAGGTAAAACAGACTTTATAGAAGAGTCTTAAATACAGGGAAAACTTTCTGCACAAGCTTATGCTCTAAGTAGGCAAGAAAGATGAAGAGTGAAGGAGAAAAAAATAATAAGATAAATGGAAATACCGGTGCCATTGTACCTTCAGGGTGCATCTTCTAAATATCATCTGTGTTTTTACTAAGTACTCAAAAATATACTGACATCTTTTGAGGGAAAAAATATCGAAACTAAATAGTTGTATTAGTTGTGGGATTTAACTTTTCGCCTGCTAATTCAAATAATTAATTTCAGCCAACACTGATGGCCCTGCTGAAGCTGTGGATAAAATCACAACTTCAGCAGGCATGGTTCTCAGTGTCCTAAGGACCCCAGAGAAGGTAAGACTGGAGGGTAAAATAAGGTGAAAGAATGTGCAGCAGCTCAGCGCTTGCTTTTGTGTAGAGTGTGTAGTCACAGCACTTCTTACAAGACTTGGCAAAATTTCCACCATCCTATTTCAGCTTTTTTTCTTTCAGGCAGTAGCTAGTCCACCTGCACTGGGGAATGTCAAACTGCATTAGGATGTCATGTGAATCAGTATAAATAGTATTACTTCAACAACAGGATTGCATGCGTATCTCTAAAAATATGCTCCTTTATACTCACAGCATATTAAGTATCCTGTTGCCATTTGAAGTTAAATTTCTGAACGCTTTTCTTATTTGTAGTCTTTTAAGTGTGGTGTTACGATTATGTGTGTAAAGATCATGTTATTATAGTTGTTGTCAGAGTCATAATATCAAAAGTATGTGTGTGGTACTTCTGTTGAATGTAACATCAAGATGAATCTCCAGCTAAAAAAAAAAAAGGGGGAGGTATGGGATTAAAAAAAATCTTTGCCTTTCTTATTATAGTTATGTGGAATGAACGAAGAAACTTTAGAGGCAGCTTCTCCCTTTGTTCCCCACAGGATAAAATGAGCCTTTATTCATGTTTTGTATCAGATAGAACAATCCCTGTGTACCTTATGGTGCTATTTTGATCCCACTGTGGCATCTATAGAATCTCTGCACTTCTTCCTGACTTCTAGGCAGCAGGGCTGCAAATTGCTATAGCTTCTTCTGCCAGTTAAGATTTTGTCTAACCCCTGCTTTTTTACACACTCCAGTGTGACCCTGCTTTGACCATTGGAATAAGGAATATTCTGATAGAGCATCTTCCTAAAATGTCCGGGCTTCCCATAGGCCTCGCAGATTCAAGTACTGACAACCTTTAGGTGTATCTCTACATTCACATTGTTGTATGTTTTCAGATAGACTTTTCCGTGAGGCTGCTTATGAAACACACAATGATGATTTTTCTGTACATTTGTTCTTAAGTTACTTCATTCACGTTTTTTGGCAGATTTTCATGGGTTTCTACAGTGTACTTTGCAGTTCTTTCCAGCTTTTGAGAGATTGATAAGTAGGGTCCTCTAAGTTTCTGATTTCTGAACTACATTGGTATTGTTTAATACTCCGCACATTTAATTCCACTCTCTGATTGCAGAACCTGTCAGGACCCACAGCAAAACAACTGCACAGTAAGAGGCACCTTCAGAACAAAGATGGACATCGGGAAAGTTTACAGTGCCTTTAACATCAGCAATGGAACAGATCTAGCTATTGGCTTTACCTCTTCCACAGTAGCTGTCCTTCTATTTGGGACAAATTTTGTGCCTGTTAAGAAATTTGATACTGGTGATGGTAAACTTATTCGTATATTTTTGTTGGTTTTAGCATTTTTGCTAATAGGAATAGTATACCAGCGAATATGAGAGTTTCCATAGCTAGAGTTATAAATGTCATCACAGCCTATATCCATAGAGCATGTTTTAATTTTCTTTGCTATTGTTAGGGTATAAAGCAATAATGTATTGGTTCAGCATCTGGCAAATCTTTAAAGAGCCTTTTTATGTGTCATTGCGCACTTTAACAGTGTAGATGTGCATTTCATGAGCATTTCACAATGGAAAGTGAAATGTCCTTTCTTCTACCTTTGGGAGGATTCTCAAATACACACAATATTATTTATGCTCTAAAAGTTGTTGGGCTTTGGAGTATTGCCTTTCAGTTGTGAACCTAACATAAAAACAAATCAAAAATTAAAATTTTAATACTGTTACCTGGTGACTCAGTAAGAGGAAACAATGGCTTCTGTTTCCTACTTGGAATTTTATCACTTTATTGTACTAGGTTCATGTTGTATTTGCACATTTATATGAAGCATACTCAATTACCAGATCCCTGGATGAATAAATCTGCTATTATGTTACTGCAATAATAGTGTTTGCATTACAGGCTACATATAACCTCTCGCTTCTTTGTGCCAAATGTGGTCCTAACAAGACAAGGCTAGACTTTAAAGCAAAAGTCTTAGCTCAGCTGGCATAAAGTAAAACGAGTCTGCCTGGCTGACCCTTAGAGAATCTACAAAGGTAGAAGAGATCTGTCTGAAGTTTTTATCATCCTCAGTGTCCTGGATTAGTGAGAAAGCCTGAGCCCTGAGCTTTGAAGGAGTTTTCTCCTGTGCAGTCCTCTGTGTCCACTGCTGCTAGAGTGGTGGGAGAAGTTTCCAGTAACTGAATATGCTCTTTGTCAGAAGCCTGTCAAAATTTTCATGTGATTGAGAATCAGGGCTTGTGTAAACTTTGTCCAGCAAAGAGTCTTTTGCAGCTGTGTATAAAGAATGCGTGCAAAGTGAAAGGCTGACAGAATTATAACACCCCACACTAAAACATATCTTTTGAATATACTGCAATGTGGTTCCCTGAAATTCACAAAGGAGGTGGCCACCTTTCAATTTTTTATGTACCATTTTACCTAAAACGTAGTATGTGAAGAGATTCACACATGCAATATGCTGTAGTTCTCTATTGTGTACATGTGATTTTTCCACAGGCATGTTCTTCCAGTGGATTCTCTGTGCCTCCATATGGGTAGTTTCTTTGGTGGTCAATTTAATCCAGAATTGCCCCCGGTTTTGGCCTCTGGCTATGGTTGGGGGTTTTTTGTGGGCTACAGGTAAGGATAAAGAGAGTCTGTTTCTTGAAACACAAAGTAATCCAAACTCTTAATAAAAAAAAACAGTGATAAAAGCTTTTCCATGTAAAAGGTAGTAGTTATTTGGTAGTTATTTGGCTTTTTAAAGTCTTGCTATTAATGGAGCTGTACCCTTGTAGCAAGTATTACTTTATTATGCTTATTTTATAAGCAGCAAATTCACACCAAAAATAACTTTTAGAGCAGTATTGAGGAAAAGTCTGTGCTTCATATATTTATTTTTAAAAAACACTATTTCCTACCACCTTGTAGTTGCCTAAATTTCTTTGCCTTCTGAGCAGTCATACAATCTAAAGCAAAAATATACAATATCACAGTCTAGGTTTTAACTGATTTTAATTTTGGTTTTTTGTATTTCAGGCAATGTTACAGTTGTCCCTATTGTTAAAACTATTGGTTTAGCTCTTGGTCTTTTGATATGGGCTTCTTTTAATTTGCTGACAGGCTGGGCAAGTTCACGGTGAGTATGTTTAAGTCATACATAATTAATGTTGCCAATTCTTCATTATAACTGCAGTGAAAACACTATCACAGATACAGAGCCTTTATCATATATATATAAGATCTTTTTCCCCTCTCAGTGGATAGTTCTCAGGTTAATTATTTTGTCTTCATGTGTTTCCTCTATTTCGATAGGAAGAAGAATGCCCAGTGATGTTCATTAACATAATTGAGTGAATAAATAATGTATTTGTTAATGTGAAACTAGTACACTGTTTGTATTTTTTCTTCTGCAGCATGAGATGATAAAATAATTTAAATCAACTTCAATTTTTAAATACTCAGATTAAAAAAAATCAGTGTAAATTAAATATTATTTTTGTAAAGTAGACATAGCTTTTTGCAAGCTAACTGAAGCACTGATCCAATATTGCAAATATAAACTTAAGCAGAATAATTTACATGAGTAAAGGTTTCCAAGACAAGGTTATAATTTAACTATTTATACGCAGTCAGTGTAACTAAGTGAAACCGGTTAAATATTCCAGGTTTGGTTGGTTTGGAATTGACCCAGAAGAGGTATCAAGACCAATCTTAAATTATATTGGAGCTGGACTTTCACTATTAAGGTAAAAATTTATTCTTAGAATAAATTTCTATAATGTCAAATATGTTTTTAATTACCACAGGGATGATTTAACTAGAGTATTTTTTGCAAATTGATTTACTGCAGAATTCATGAGCTATCCATACCTAGCTGGTCAGTGTTGTTTCAGAATAGAAACATACATGATACCCAATACAGTGGTGAAATGGTTATTGATAAACACAGAAGTATATTTTTATGCTGGCAGGCATGTTCAAGGCAAAGCAGTGATGCACTCATGTTGGTTATTCAAATAGTTCACTCTCCCCAAATTTTGTGATAGAGGAAAAACTGACTAGCAGAATCTTGGTGAGAAAACCTCTGTGAGATTTCCGATCTGACTTCACTCAGTCCAGGGTACAAATCCTTGCTCTTAACTGTAGAATATGCTACAGGACCCCTTCCCAGATCCTTCAGGGTCCATGAAAAGCCAGAGGCTTTGCATTATCTCCTGTCCTCAGTAGCTCCTAGAGTCTTGTAACTCTTAAGCCACACTTACAACAACTCCCAAACTGTAGCTTCTTTCGAAATCCGCAGCAGGACTTCTACTCTTATTTTTTGCTTGTTATTTGTATGAGTGTACATTTTGGTCCAAACACAGAGGAAAGGAGGTCTTTGCTACGTAGCAGTGTTCTTGCTTTCCAGCGGGGTATCTAGGAAGGTCTTTCTAGAAACAGAACAGTGGCCCTAAATCCCAGGTTTGCCATAAGCGTGCTAAACAGCAGATGGACCTAATGCCTCTAGGAAAGAACGGTGTTAAGGACATAGAGAGGATTGAGCTGTTCTTGATTGCTAGGAGAGAGCTGCTGCCTTAGATTTGTGAATTTTGCATTTACTCTTCCACTTTCCTAAGGCTCTGCCGCTTTTTACCCGTTGCCATTGCACGTAGCACATGATTTTGAGGTACTCACAACATAGTAGCAGTGTTGCTATTCCTGCCTGGTGAACTCATTCATCTCTGCACCTGCTTCCTGCCTGCTTCTGAGCTTTCACGAAGAAGTGATCAACAGGGAAAAAGATCCTGACCAAACAAGTTTTCCTGCCAAGCTGCACAAAGCCTGTGTACGTTGCTCTGCAGAGCTCAGAAGTGTGTATTTCATCTTATCCTCCTCTGTGGAACCTGTGCGTGTTTGCCTAGTCCCTCTGGAGG